CCCCGGGCCTTAGGTTGTCTACCCCTGATCTACTGCATCATTTGCTGTGTGCTGTTGTTTCTGACTTATGGCAACCCCTATCATGATTTTGAGAGAGTGTGACTCACCCAAGGTCACCTAGTAGGCTTCCATGGCTGAGCAGGGATTCAAACCCTGGTCAGAGAGTCATAGTTCAGTGCTCAGACCCTTTGGGGTTACAACTTATATGAACAACTCTGGTCTTTAGCTGGAAGGTCTTCAGCAGGGAGTGATGTGGGCTGTTTTGTCTCCTGGTTTATATTTTTGGGCAACCACAATCTACTGAACAAATGTACGCTTCCCTTGTGAAGTCGAAGAAGAAGTCATTTGAGAGTCTAGTGATTAGGAAAACACAGCTTCTTTCATTGATCTCAAATGGCCTGTTTTTACTGAACCCTCTTTGCCAGGAAGTTGTAGGTGGTCTTACTTATTGGCTGTTTTGTGGTGTGGCATTACTCAGTACTCAGCAGCATCTTCTGATCCTGCTTCCTTCTTTGATATGATTGATTCTTCTGTAAATTGGGTCTGTGTTCTGTGGGAAAAAAGTGAAAATACATAACAACAAGCTACAAGTTTTTTAAAAGAAGAAATATGGGCTCAAAATTTAATAAATAAAATCTCAAACGACTGCCAGAAGAATCTAATTTGGCTTGCAGATGGAAAGTTCAGAGATGAGCAACGGAGATCAAATCTTAGAGGGTCGATGAAGTCAATAACTGTGGTCTATCTAGAGCAGGAGGCAACAAGAATTTATAAGGGCATACTGAGATCGTTTTCAGAAGAAAGAAGGGAAATAGGAAGCACAAATAGAACCTAAAAAGAAAGGAATATGGAATCTTCAGGATTCCAGCCACTTTATTCCATTCCAGTTCCCTCCTTCTACAGTAAATGATTGTTTGATGAAAAGGAGGAAGAAAGGAGGAAACATTTGTGTCAAAACTAACTGGTTTTTATTTTTGTATCTGAAGAAGTGGGTTTATATCCATAAAGTGAGTTTATTCATGAAAGCTCATTCAAAAATAAAAACCAGTTAGTACTTAAAGGTGCTGCCATGTTTCTTTTTTCTCTCCCTCTTTCTTCCTCCTTTTTATGCTGCAAGAGACTAACACAGCTACTTCTTTCGAAATGATCATTATATCAAAATTTTCTCTTGACTGTTTTTATCCCTCTTGTTGGGTCTCCTTGGGCAAATCACATTATCTCAGTTTAAGATGAAGGCCATGGCAAACCTCAGAATAAATCTTGCCAAGAAAACCCTATGATAAGGTCAGAGAGTCAATGTAAAGGTACATAGCAACAACCCCTTACTTTGTCTTTGTATGTCTGTAAAGCTTGAACTTTCTCCAAGCCTGATGATACAGCATCATATATATGATATGCATGTATGTGTGTGAGACAGAGAGAGAGAGTTGGTGATGTTGTTTTGCACAAGAGTGTTCACAGACTGTCCTCATCAGAAATTATTCAGAGATATTGAAACAGAGGTAGACAATGAAATGGAAATGGAAGTAGTGATTTACAGACTATGGCTGCAGGACCCGAAGAAAAGTCCAAATGTATTTGTCCTCAAAAATGCTTTGGGTGGTCTAAGAAGTATTTTTCTATCAAGCCAGGGGCAGTGCCATACAGTAGGACAATGGTGGTAAATGTTAGGATCCCAGCAACTTCAGGATCTGCAGAGTATCCTCAGGCAGTGTTAACAGGGATTTCAGTATTCTTCAACCCTTTCAGACCTAGGGCTCACCATTAATAATATATCTTTTTTCACTTTTC